CTACATATACAAGTTTCCTTGCTTTCTCAAAGCAGTACAAATATCTACCATTGACCAAAGGCGGGCGTGGACATTTTCTGAGGGGGCATGAAGCTAGTTAAAAATGAAAATATTTATTAAATTTGATCTTGCCCGCCCTATTTGTTTTCAGAGCTTTTCATTTATTTCATTACTTATGTTCCATTCACATATTTTCGACGTGTTTTTCGAATCAAACATACTTTCGCCTTACAATCTGTTATTTGTAGCTTATTGCTAGCTAGTTAAATTTGAAGTGGGAACTGCAACCTGCGGCCCTCGGGTCAAATTCGCCCGCAAGAAAAAAATTGTGTGCGCGGGAAGTTTCAATTTAGAATGGTGTGCGGCCCGCGAAACGAGTTTTTAATTTAGTTCAATCTGTTACGTGCGAGTGATTCCAATCCATTCGCTCTGCAAAGCCTATACCTGAGTCCAATTTTTATATATGCTTATGACGTTACAATGGCCTAACAGCTAGCTTGTGTGAAGCGAACAATATGTCATGAGATCATTCACTCAAATTTTTTTGCATGCCTAGAAAGCCTACCGGTATGTTGAATAAAAGTGCGGCCAGCGGTTTCACCCAGTTATTTGCATCTGGCCCTCTCGTATAAAAGCTTGCACACCCATGGACTAAAGAACTGATAAAGGAGTTAACGCGAAAGGATTGCTCCACCTTACCCACTTAATCGAACAATTTGAATAGTTAGAGTTTAATCCGTCCACTGGTACTCAACGTATTATGTGGAAGAATATATTTTCACCCCTACCTCATTCGATCAATTCTTTAGGAAAATAACTAACGAAATATCAAGAATATTATACCCGAATGTTGAAAGAATTGTACCGAATGTCATATGAAGTTCTCGCGAATTGTAAAAAACAATTATAAATGATCAGAAAAATTTGAAACTAATAGCTTTCTATCCGTATACTCCATCTTCTAGCTACGAAAATTTGAGATCGATAAGTCTATTGGTATCATGGTTAAGCAGTTTTGAATAGCAACAACCAGGGGATCTCCCAACCTTTTTTTAAATTTGAGAAAAAGCCTTCTTCTGAATCGTACATAGAAATTTTCGTAGCTTTGAAACGCTCATTACACCCCTTGACTCTTGAAACCCAACGTTTTCTGACCCAATGGCTGTTACGCTATAACTTAACGATTAGAAATTTCAAAACCACCCTTTGAAAATTTCTGGCTGCGTCTCTGAAGTCTATACCTTTGTCAAAAACTATATTTTCAAAATCTTCTCAGACCCACTTTCCTTGTTACATCACAATAATTTCCTTACTCGTGTACATCGATATCTCTCGACTGCTCAGAACATCAAGCATCCATCGACCAACTATGACCCTGAGATAAAACCATCACTGTATCTATGAATTATGTGCGGCCATGTTTTATGATTTCTGACCGTGAAACAAATTAACGACACGATTATTAAATTACGTATTGATTGTTCATATTTCATATTTATATGACAGAACGATACGTTTAAGCGTGCTCAGTAAAAATAATTGAATTTCTAGGTAACTTGGGATTGCAACCTAAAGTCTGTGGTGGATTTTTATCAGTGTGATTTCCTAACGACAGACACCGTTAAACATGAATTGAATTTACATGTAAATTGAGGATAAGTAAAAAAAGTTTGCTTGGTTCGCAAGAAACTGTGAAAAGTGGGGCGGAAAAAGCTTTCGTATTCCAATAGTAATTAATTCATTAATGATTTGAAATGTGGCAGATGGGGGTTAGTCAAACTTCATTTTTCTAAGTCGATTATGATATAAAACTAGCCATTGGGTCGGCTTTCATATTTTAGTTGCTAACAGACCCTGCTAATTGGTGCTCCCGAAGTATGCGAACCAAGATGGCGGACATCGGAACGTAACATGGGTAACAGGTTAGGGTTAGGCGATAATTTTTTTCCAATTTTAGTCCTATTATCAGTTCGAAGACTAGCCAAGAGCCTCCCGTAGTATTTATACCTAAAATTATGGCCTAACTCTAACCTAGTACACATATTACATTCCGATGTCCGCCATCTTGGTTTGCATACTTCGGGAGCCCCTGCTAATTTTTACTCCCCCTCCTATGAACCTACAAAAGTTTTCAATAGCGGTTATGGTACTTCCTCCCGTAGGTTGTATACCTGGTTAGGGTTGGGCCATAATTTTATTCAGATTTTTCTCATATTAGTTCTATTACGACTACAAGTTTGTGTTAGCCAAGTAAATATACCCACTGCCCATAGGTTTCAGTCCCTTGATGTGACAACTGATATGTTCAGTCACAACTTGATGTGAAGTAAGCAAACAAAACTAGTTACTTCTATATTGGTGGTTATAGCATTGAGGTTTATGTTGTTGTTGCTGGTTTAGATTTAAGATTCAAACATCATTAGGTTGTATTACGCTAGATGGGATTTTATTATGTCACAACGACACTAATAAACAAATTCAGTGCCAATAATGGAATTTGCATGTATTTGCAGATCTTCAAGACCGTACTCGTGCTGCAAACTTGGCAACATTCAAGACTAACTAATGAGAAATAAAAAGTTAATAGAAAGCGAGCGAGAATGCTTGTTGAGTCGTTGTTGCAATGAGAGTCCTAGCACAATCCTTTATCGCCTCTAGTGTCAATTGAAATTTGTACATGGTTATTGGGTGTCTAAGTGGGCGGGTACTATTTGGCGATTCGATGATAGTATCGTCGGAGCTGAAGCACTATTTAGAACAGTGATCGGCAAACTTTATGTACTTGCGAACCAAATATCATCTTTCCCGGTAGCATTCATTTCCGCCTGTGAACAATCGCCACATTTAAATTCTAATTATGGCGCACTCGCACTGTGTTAAAAGCCTGCCACAATGAGACGTGTATGTTGTTTTGTTAAATATATTTTATCAAACAATACATTTTTTTTTATTTATTTATTAACAGTGTCAAGGATGATGTTGTTTCTGTGTCCGGCAAATTCGTTGTCCCGCAGTATCCTACGTCGTACAATTAACGATACATATGGCAAGCAAGTACGCAATTTATTCTTAATGTAATACCTTTTAGATAGAGCTGCTCACAGCAATATATGCTTCCAAACGTGCACATTTCACGTTTTACACTGTCGCGCAGATTAGCAGTGGCGCAGCCCCGGGTCGAATTTTGTATTTGCAATGACACGTTTAACATTGAATACGTTAATAACTTCGACGCTGTCCTAGCATAGCAAGCAAACTGGTTTTGAAATGCGCGGGAAAAAAACTATTTTTTATTTTCAAGCACTTTGAAATGTTCGGTACTCATCGCAAACTTCCCTCCGTTTGTTTCCCGACATTTTCAAATTTTAAAAATCTAAATAAACTTGACTTATAATTACAACGTACGTACAGCGCACTTGTTACCACATAAATTCATTTGGATACAACACATTTAGGATCATTTTTTGTTTTACATATTAGAAGTAGTTCGCAAAGAATTCGTTTGCCGACCCGATTTAGGATGTCTCAGGTGTCAGAGAAAAAGTTCATCTCCCAGAATACTATTCGAGTGAAATGCTCATAAAAATTCTAAGGAGGTCTTAAAAATTTGGCGTTTATACATTCAATATACATATTCAATAAAAACACATCTTAATGTAAGTTAGGGTTACATTTCGTCTGGATGGATGAAATATTCCAAGTAGGATATTCCCCAACTTTTTAAAAGATGATTTTTTTTCTGGTACCATTTTTATTACTTTAAAGATGAAACACATGTTATTTACTTATAGAATTTTTTTACATTCTATGTGTAGTTTTAAACTCCATGGGTTTGTTCGATTCCAGACATCCTCATATTTAGTTGGTCGTCCAGGACATTGATTTGAGCAAACTAATAAACACGATTATCCTCAAAAATCTAGTTTGATTGTTTTAAACTTGGCTAAAGCTTACTACCTTTCCTGACCTCATTCATATATCGCCTATACCTGGGATGGGAAATCCTTGAAGGTCCAAAAGTGACTCAATATCTTTTTTTGGAGTTCCAGAAGTATGTGCACCAAGATGTCGAACAAACTGAAATAGTATATGTACCAGGTTAGGGTTCCGGTAGTGCACCAAGATGCGCTATCTTGGTGCACATACTTCGGGAGCACCCCTTCTTTTGGTGAACCACCAAGTCACGGGAAATTTATGCAAACATTTTTCAGTTCAGTAGTTTACACGCACGCGAATCTGGGCTTCGCACATAAATTTCACGGAGTCAAATATCAGACATGATAATGCTGCATGTGTACCATACTTACTAAAGATTATAAGACTCGCGGGGAAGATTGCGCTGATGCAAACTTTGGTTGAATATCCATTACCCATTCTTCATCTTCATGATTAAGATATAATTTTTGTACACATTCCTAGCAAAGGTTCGTCATCCCTGGCTTATACCCCGCACTTCAGTGGTCAGCAAACTGTGGAAGGCAGCAAATCTCAATCATGGCAGTGATACACAAAAAAGTTCTATACATCCAACATTACATTATTTTTTGCCAAATGGTTTCTATTCATATATGAAACGGTTATACATTACGTTTATATTTAAAATTTCCAACAAAATTCTTGGGCATTGGAATCTCTAATTACCTCTTCCATTTTATCATTTGGGCCTCACTTGAAAAAAATTTGCCCCGTACATTGATTATCTTGTCAATATCTATGTATAAGAATATGACTAACCAAAGGCTAAGTCCGATTACCAACATATCAAAAATTGGTTGAGGAAATTTATTGCAACATTACTAAAATGTCAATTATGATATAATGTCATGTATAGTGTCATAAACATAAAAACATATTTAGACTATCGTATATGCTTGTTTTACCGCCCGATCTTTATTAAGGGCCCGTTTGAATAGCCGCCCATGTGAACAGAACATAAAAATAAATAAGGGCCGGTGCTTGAATACCCGCCCGATGTAAAAGCTGATTTTTCAGTGGTAGAGAACAATAGGAAATAAGAAGCGTTTTTGTCACAACGCTGTTGAATTTTAAGCGCTGGTAGATAACACTCACACGTGGTTCTCAAACTGGGCGTCGCAGAGTGCGTCATTTCAATAATGATAGGGCGTCGCAATTTTACCTTAAAGATAACAAGGGCCCGTGCTTGAATAAGGGCCGGTTTGAATAAGGGCCCGATTAGTGAGTTTGTTTAAAAAATATGGGCCCGGGCTACAAAACGAGCAAATACGGTATTTTGAATATTGAAGGTTTAAATATACCTTTCACCCCCGAACAAAATCCTGCACAAGAAGCCACTGCCATTTGGCGAACTTCCCAACAGTACAAGAATATACAGGGTGTCCAATTGATTTCGCCCAATTTTATAGTGATAAAAATTTCATTGTTCTTCAATAGTTCTTATTGTGCTTGTAGTTCTCATTATCATACAATAATATTTCAGTGCTCCGGTATTCTGCGTACCAAGATGTCGCACAACCTGAATCCCAACCGGTACACACATACTATGTTCAGGTTGTGCGCCATCTTGGTGCGCATACTTCTGGAGGTTCAATATTTATTTACAACTTACAATTGTTATTGATATAAAGTCGAGGGAAAAATTTTGGACATCCTGTATATTCACGATGCTGATCACAATAATCAAAAATGAAACAAAGAAATTCTAAAGGGTTCAAAACTCTTTTGAAAAAAATTGCCTTACTTGCGTCACAGCCCTGAGGTGTGAAAAACCCTCTTATAAAAGTCACTTAAGGTTAACTATCATTCAATCAATTAATTTTTATTATTCGCTTTTTGATTAAAGCCATATCTTTTTTGTCTGAAGTGGACTGAAATGGACTTCTGATCTCATGACAAGGGGTCATCTTTAAGTCCACCTATTTTAGTCTTCAATTTCAAGTTTGGACTTACGCCCATTTTCAGGTTTGGCTGGTGGAACAAAATTATTAAAAAAATGGTTTTCCCGAAACCTTGAGATGTGATGTAAGTTAATTTAGGGGCGATATATTTGTGCATGCATGCCAGGGTATAAGCCCGGGATTTTCAAATGGAATTTTCTGAAACTTCTGATTGCCAAGTTAGGCCATAACATTCAGTGAGCCCCACTAGTTGCCAGAAAACGTGGAATCTCAAGAGTCTTTAGATTCTAAAAAGTTTTTTAAGCTATGAAAAAATTTCTATGTACAATTGCAAATGGGAAATTTTTTTGGACCCCCACAGAAAGTATGCGCACCAAGCTGGCGCACAATCTGAAAATAGTATGTGTGTACCCGTTAGGATTCAGATTGTACGACATCTTGGTGCGCATACTTCTGGAGAACCATTTTTTTCTCATTTAAAAAAAGGGAGGGTTCCAATCCGCACCCCCCTTAAAAAAAAAAAAAAAAACTGGGTACCCTACATACATATACATCAGTTGAGTGTTTGACAAAGTCTATGTCCACACTAAAATTAGGTAAAGCCCGTGAAAATAATCGATAAGTATGTTATGATTACATTAATAAAAAAGAGCTCCTGTTTGACGGTTGATGATTAAATTTTTAAGTTCAATTAAAAATGATCATAATAATATAACAGCCAATTGCTGCTTGTCAAAAAATAAGACAAAGTATCATAAAAAATACAATACAATACTGCATCTGTGAATCAAAAGTACGACAAATAGATTTAATACAAATCAACACGCTTTGGGTGTTTTTTCTTTTCAAACAGCTTGAATCCAAATCGTTCGTTCGGTTCCATCTGGACAACTTTTTCCAATTCTGGGGGTTTCTCGGTGTATGGTAAAGGCACGAACACTTTGATTGCAATGGGTTCCTTCTGCCCGATGTCAATCTGGAATTAGAAAGAATGATTTGTAATAAATATTGCTGATTTGAAGGAGGCCAAAATTGAGTGATAATTTAACACCATGGGTAAATTTTGAAATAACATATTGTTACTTATCGATTTTAATCGAAGTATGTTGAAAGGTATTTGTCTGTCTGTATGTCTGTTAGATGCACGCGATATCTCACGAAAGCGAGATTGAATCTGCTCCAGATTTAGCCTGTGCATTCATCATATCTCAGACCAGAAGCCTATTGATTTTGGGCGAATCATGTCGTATAATTAGCGCGTTATTAGTTAATTAGTGATGAGACACAAGGTGTCACTATGGAGTAAGAGCGTTGTTTTGGGGGTACCCTAACTTTCGATCAATGAGTCTTCGGTCTCTGACAGATATTTTCGTTTGTATATCGAGACTTATATACGAGATGTTCGAAAAATTTTGATTCGTAGTACAATTGTAAGTTAAATAAATCATATTGTATGATAAATGAGAATTATGAATGTAATTACTATAAAATCAGGCAAATTTTAATGTTATTACCATTTACTATAAAATCAAAAATTTCATCCAATTTAAATGTAGGATGGGATGACATTAAAACAGTAACCAGGTTATTTGAAACATATTCTAAGGAGAACATAACGTTTGTGCAAAGCCTCCCAGTTTGCTGAGACTTCTGGGTATAAGAACAAACAGCAAAAGTGCCAAATAACTTCCGGGTTATCACGAAAATTATGAGTTCCTATTTTCTGGAGTCACTTTGTATGCATTTTAAATTGGGTTATATTTGATAAAAAAAACATGAACAAGTCAATATTTCGATATATTTTATGAATTTGATTGGTTTATTATTATTTATAATTTTCGAAATTGAATTGAACTAGTTTTAATTATTCCTGAAATTTGGAGTATTGAATAAAATTAATCCTGAACTGATTTAAATATTCAATTCGTTTTCGACATCCTCGTTCTGAGCAGCTAAGCTACTGTCATGCAGTATCCAAATAACATAAAAACCAATGCCCTCAATTATTCAAAATAAGTATTATTCCTATATTCCTAAATAATATCATTTGAAGATAATTGATTTAAATATCGGATTTGCGACACCCCTGGTCATGAACTAATAGCCTACTATGGTATAATATATCAAAATAAGTGTCTAAGGTAAAATGAACATAACAATAAATGAAGGCCCTCAATTGCTCGAAAGGAACATTTTAAATTATTGCTAAATATTATAATTTGAAAATAATTGATGGATTCAAATACTCCATATATTTTGGCAGCAAGTAGTCAACTGTTATAGTCGGTACCGGTAGTTTATGTTTTCACATGTCGAAAGTAAACATCGTACAAACATAATTAAGAAAGATGAAAAAAGTGAAGGGAGACGATAGACCAGTTATGGTTATCAAGCTCATCTAAATTTAATATCCAAAATGAATGAGGATAACATATAACTTCTGAGTCCCTGAGACTTTCTATATAATATGCAAATTCAGCATTTCCTTATGTATGTGTTAGTCTCAATGGCTTTCTACAACATATGGTTGAAATAAGGAAATAGCAATGAGTCAATATTAGTAAAAATTGTTTAAGTAAATTCTCAAATTAAAATTTGACTGTGACAACTCTGGCAAAATCTCTCCCTTTTTAACTTTGTTTCAATATTCAATCAGTTTTGATTTGAAGTTTCGATTTAAATTTTTATATTTAAGTTTGAAATATAATTATAACACCGTTATATCATATTTTGAGTCTTGCTTCCACAAAACTTGGGCAAATATTTCATAGTAACGGTCATATCAAAACAACAATGGCTAATGGACATTATGAAGCCCGGCTCAGAAATATAAAATTAAGCTTAACTTATCATTTTTGTAGTTTTGGACCAATTGAGTCAAGCAGAGGGCATGTTGTCGAAGCACAGCCACTAAAATGCCAATAGTTATGGAAACTGAGTTAGTGTACTTATTTGATGCATTAAATGCTGGCCAATACCGGGTCACAAGAGATTTAAAGCAGCTCAAGTCAAAAGGGACAGATATAATGTAGTGGATTACGCATTACTGAAACTTGACATTAAACGATTGAAAGCTCGCACCCAACCTCGCGGGATAAGTTCCAAAACTATTTAAAAAATTACTTTATTTATCACGGGCTACGCATATTTCGAATCTAAAACAATTTTACATGTCATTTCTATCATTTATCATAGGACATCGATAGGATCAGGGAAACAGCTACGAGGGTGTGAATTCTGCATAATTGAATATTATGGGAAAACAAAACAACATTATCAAAGAATGAATGGTGTTACTAATTACTATAGGGCAGGATCTATCACCTATGTTACCTACTCGGGTTGAGAATAATAAATATCAAATTTTTTTCTCAAGTATGTAATGTTCTTTCAATCCATATGGGAACTACTGATGGATATATCAATGGAATATTATGGTCAATACAATCAATGGACTAATAAAACGAATTTGCTTTTACTGTAAAAAACATTGACCAAAAATATTTTTGTCAGATAAACAGGCAAACCGGTTTTAGGTCGGGACCCATAGGTTGAGAAACACTGGTATAAAGCACTGACCTTAATGATATAATTCGTTCCAGCAACTACTTGAGACATGTACGACAGAACATGGTAATGGTCGAACACACAAAATTCTTTTTTCACGCATAAAGTCTTTTCGACAGAAGGTCTCATCTGAAAATGGAGAATATTTTTAGGAAATTTGCTGAAATCAAGGACATATTATGCACTCACTTAGAAGTAAAGAAGACTCATTTCTAAGCAAAGTTATGGGAACTCACTCAAAAGTGAAGGAGACTCAATTGTGAAAAAATTACTAAACAAAAAGAGCAATGCTCTAATTTACAGCCATAATATATAAAATAAAAATTTGCTACTGAAACTTCACAGCAATTCGTCCAATTATTGCCTAAACAAATAATCAGCGAATAGACTTTATGCTGACTTAATTCCAACAGCTACAGCATCTTTAACCATGTTAAGTTCTCAAGAAAGAGCGTAGAGCTGTAAAGGTTGTAGGGTTGGCATGTATCTGTATATGCAAATTTTTAGAAATTCACCGTTTCAGGGCTGATGTGCAAGGATATATGATAAACCGAGATAAGAGAGAATCAACGAAAACAGATCAAAATGTTAACAGCCCAGAAAATTTCCAATTTTGCAGCCAATAAAAACTAAAGTTCGTTGCGGCTTTTTTCACCATCAAGTTCATGCATCTGAAGCGAAGAACTGGTTAACTGGACATGGACTAGCAACTGAACGAGAGGCCGTGGTTCGCTATATGATTAAGTCATCCTATTAGGTTTTCTCTCCTTGAGATAAATATGAAAATCCTATCATATGAATGCGCCATTATACAGTTACGGTATACAGGTTTTTCAGTACTCACGAAGTATGTAAACCAAGCTGGCGGACACCGGAACATAGTATGTGAACCAGGTTAGGGTTAGGCCATAATTCCAGCTATAAATATTACAGGAGTCACTTGGCTAATCTCCGAACTGTAATAGAACTAAAATAAGAAAATTTGGAATAAAATTATGGCCTAACCCTAACCTGGTACACACACTATATTCAGGTGTCCGCCATCCTGGTTCCCATACTACAGTACAGCAGTAATATGGGAGCGCCAGTTTTTCTTTCCAACAGAATTATTCTGAAAATTCTAGAATACTCACCAGCTTGGCAAGTTCAACCACATCATCTGTAGGATCCTTTGCTTTTGTGAATCCCCCAACCATCATTCCATGGGCCATCGTGCTGGATATGAATGTCAATAGCAACAACGCACACACTGGCGATTTCATTTCTATTAATTCTGTAATTAGTTACCGGTAGCCTATCTGTTAAAAGGGAATGGATTATGGATTTAATTTTTTTATCAACAGCTTGGCATGTAAAATTACGACGCTTGGCAAGTAAAATTATATTCGCAACGTTCACTTCTGTTTCAAAACGCGTGGGCGAAGACGACATTCCTATAAATATAGAAACGATTGATCCAAAACAGCAAAATGTCGCAATCCACTTTCACAAGGAAGTAACAGAAAATATGAACAAAAGAATTTGCTCTCTAGTGCTATATGGTGGTGAAGGTAAGGTATAAATTGGGTTTGACAGACGTAATGAATATTCCCACGGATCGATTTCCTTGTTTATTTTTGTAACAATGACCAATCAGCATTGAGCAAACAACAACATAACAATTGCAATTTGTGCCGACGCTCAGACACTTCTTTTGCGCAAGAGGATAGATATTCAAGCGTGGTTATAAATATACCCTCATTTTCGTGGTTCCGTGTGTTATTTGTCAATGTCAGTTGCGTTTCCCAAATATAGTTGTTAATCAATAATCTCATTGTTATTATGTACTCTAAGGAGCTTCCTGTGTATAAATAGCAGCATCTATGATCTATATACAAAAAACGACCATTCAAATGGCGTTTGGTACCATGTGGAATTCAAAATTTTAAGAAAGTGTTCTCTTTTGTCCCGAACTCACTAATAGCATATTCTTTCGTTTAAAAATATACGTTTGTGACTAAGTAAGCTACATTATTATGACACGCTTTCACGCTCGTCGTCAGCAGCGATGCACGCTGCTGCAATCGTTCAATGAATAAACTAGTCAACCTGGGAATTATTTTTAAATACTCTAATTAACTGTGAATCTTAATAGCGAACATAGTGGAAGCTGACTTTGATGACCGCATTGTCGTATAGCTCGCCCCGGTGTCTTTGTGTATAGTGTATTGTATATATCTTTTTATTGATTCAATTCTTGTATTCTGGTTGATGAAATAAATATCTCTCTCTCTCTAATGCAAAATGAAGGGACTCGCTGATTATCACGGCACTCTAAAACAGAAGTGTGCAGCCTGCGGCCCGCGGGTCAAATCTGTCTCACAAAGAAAAAATGTGCGGCTCGTTGAGAAGTGCCAATTTCAAATACTGTGCTGCTTCAGAAACGAGTTTTCAATTTAGTTTATTTGGTGCGAGCGAGTAATTCTGATCCCTCTGCGTTGCAAAGTCTCCTCCTGAGTCAAATTTTCTTTGCCTATGACGTTACAATGGCCCAACATGTAGATTGTGTGAAGCAAACAACGCATGTCACGAGATCAATACCTAAAATTGTTGTGCCTACCCCTACTAGAAAGCCCAGGTTAAATAAAGGTGCCGCCCGCGCTTTCAACCAGTTGTTGTATCTAGCCCTCATTTATTGAAAGCTGCACACACCTGCTCTGAAAAACTGAATCTCATCATTGTCTTTATGTATAGATAATTAATCTTTGATCATCGAAATTGCAAGCCTAAATCCGACGCGTATTTAAAACATATGAATTACAATGTTTTCTACGCTCTCATTGTATAGTCAGTCAGTATAGCAGACTAATAACTATTTTCAGATTCAGATATTTTCGCACTTCGGGATCACGCTGTGACCTTTATCACGTAACTGCGAAGTTACCTGTTACTTTGATAGTTCTTATTATTTTCACAACTATTGGCAATGATGGGATTTCGGTGGAAACACTATTTTTATTTAGTACTTGCGCATTTCCACTTGTGGACAGTCGTTCACAATCCACGATGAATATACTTCCATAAATTCTGCCTCATTCCTCTTAAAATAATCATAAGTCATGTAGCGCCAGTGGCGTATCTAGGGTATGGCAGGCATGATTCGTACCATGGGCGCCGTTTGGATTGGAGAGCAGAAAAGGCGAACAGTTTCAATCGTAAAATGGTTTAATAAAATAATTTCAAATTGGCAATAACTGAAACTCGTATTTAAAATAGAAAATAATTTAAATTAATACTTTTATCTAAATAATAACGTACAAGTACCTAAATTCAACAACAGTCAAATTGTCAGTCAACGATCATGTGGGGCGCATTTTAAACTTTTTCATGGTCGCAATTTTACTTATATAAACATATGCCCCTGTGTAGAGCAGAGGGGGACAAGGTCCTAGAATCAGGGGCCGAAAATTTTTCCTATCTAGACTGGAGGGCCATGTAAGTGTGTCGTAAAAAGTTACATTTCATGAGCAATATTTACAGTGTTACAAAAGCAAAAGCGGAAAACAATAAGCCTCGTGCCAAATTAAATTTAAAAACAATCTCAACTATTTTTAAGCTAAAACATCACAATTTGGCTTTAGTTTGATTGTGGCAGCATCAGGCGGGCCGTAGTTCGCCCATGTCGGGTGTAGAGCCTTGCTCGCAGCGAAATGGTAATAAAAAAGCAACACAGAAATTTCCCCATAGTAAGATCAAACAAGAAAATATAATCTGCCAAAGTAATACGTGAGTTCTTTGTATAAATGTTTTGTATCAATCTCGTGTATGCAAGCCTATCATGCGCAACTTTTATTTATTATTAAACTTTCAATAAAACGATATAATGAAGGAATGGGTTATCAAAAACCAATTTTGTCCCAAAAATCAATATAAAACCATGACCTTATGACAGCGCGTCACGTTAGCTTATAAGAAATTTTAGACCACCTGAAGTATGCGCACCAAGATGGCGCACAACCTGAACTCAGGTTGCGTACCAGGTTAGGGTTCAGGGTATGCGACATCATGGTGCGCATACTTCAGGAGCACCGAATTTTTCTATGGATTGGTAAATCGATGGTAAGAATTCAACATCCCTCTATATCCTTGGTTCTCAAACTGAGGTCCGCGGTCGATTGCGGGTCCGTGAAGCGATTTTAGGGAGACAGCTTCAACCTTGGCTCAGAAGCACTTTGATTTGAAGTAAATTTTGATGTCATTCTTTTACAGTGTTTCTCCAAAGCACGACACGCTCTATCGACATTATTATGTAACAAACGTTGGTGAACGTGGCAAATAGCGTAAATCGGAGCGTACGTACCTTTCCCAGGGCATCGACTTCCTTGTTTACTTCGTGACATTGGTCAATCAGCAAGAAGCAAAAAGTGACGTAACAATGCTCCCTTTTCGCATCCGCTCAGACACTTTTCTCACTCAGACAGATTTGCAAGCGTGGTCGTAAACATTACCTCGTTTTCGTAAAGTATGGAAAGAATTTTCCGGGGGTCAAAGGTCGGGGAAAGGTCCATTGTTTATGGAAGGCATGTGAATCTAATTGCAAATTTTCTCGGGGTAATTTAAAAATGCCCACCCGCCACAAAAAAATGAATGTAAATATAACGATTCATATATATGTGATATTTGTTTTGTTGAGATAAGTTCTGGAGGAAAAGAAAAACCACCAGTGACACAGTTCTATCCCGATGTCGCTAAGATGGCACTAAAAATGCTCATTTCATTTGCAACAATTTACAGATTTACGAATGTGAGGCAGCTTTTTCTACGTTATTCGCTATTAAAACAAAATGTCAAAACAGAATGCTCGTGCGACACGATATGAGAGTTGCATTATAAAAAACTGAACCAATATAAAACTAGTCGAAGCCAAGCAGGCGCACCCATCGCATGATGAATGCTTGATATACCACGTTGCTATTTGCTTCCATTTCTTTAGTGGGCCGCGGGTCATCAGAAAATATGAAAGGGGACCGTTATGCATAAATTTTCGAAAAGTTTGAGAACCAATGCTATATATTGAGAGAGTGAAGATAGAGACAATGGAAGAAAGGATGTGCAGTACGTGACGTCATACTATTATGACGTCATATTTATGAAATTTTTACGACTAACAGCTCTGTGACACTGACAATCATATTATCTTCATGCAGGGCTATCGAATTAATATCCAAAAAAATTGACATATGATGGCCGTCGCAAAATATTTCAATAGTACAAGCTGTGGTTCGATCTATGGACTACGCCCATGCATGCATCTGGAACGAAACTATAACCAGAAAAATTAAAGAGGAGACTTTGACTTAAATACTGTTCACTCTTGTTTGGGAATTTTTACAAAATTATTAAAATGGTGTGGCAAACAATTTTTGTTATTTATCACATTTCTTATCTTTTATTCTAATTTCTTTCTTACGTGTTTATTTATTTATTTTTTGGTTACCATATAATTTATCTAAAGCTTCTCACTTTTTTCTAATTTTATAAATGCCCTATGGTTGTGTGTGTGTGTGTGAGTGTGAACGATTTGATTCAGTAGTTTTAGGTGAGTGAACACGTACCACTTCTTTTTAACAATACCTTCCATCTTATATTCTGTACGTTTTAAAACTTATCCAAGGTTTTGTTTACTCTCCTGATTTCATAATCAGTTTTTATTTATTTATTTTTATCAACCGTTTTATCGCCTATCTGCTAATTATGGAGTCGAAATAAGCTTATCTATCTTGCCCGATACAAAGTTAAACTTCAGGCAGTTTACGGGTGTGGTTTCATTATATGATATTAAATCGTGAATTTGTAGATTTATCATTCGGAAAGGAACACGAAAAAGTACGATAAGTAAAGCAAAAATCTTACATAGCGGTATAACAACGCAGATATTAGATTAGGCGGTACTCCCGTAGTGTGTGTACCACGTCAGGGTTAATTTTTATTCCATTTTCCTTATTTAGTTCTATTACAAGTTCGGGGACTGCCTGTGCTAGCCAAGTATATATACCCACTGCCCATAGGTTTCAGTCCCTTTACACAACTTGATGTAAAGTAGGGAACAAAATTAGTTACCTCCATATTGGTACACACACTTCTGAAGCGCCGATTAAGCTACCAAAGTTAATGTCATACTCATTGGAAACAAGGTAGACCTATAGACCGATATCCCAACTCAGATATTTCTATAATTCACCAACATACTTTCATTCGGTACAAATCTTATACCACTCGCTAAAAGTGTTGACATTGCGGAGGAAAATGAGT